GGTTTTGGATCGCTTAGCTCTGTCTATCACTTGCTGCTTTCGCTGTTTGGCGTGTAAGTAGTCCTGTTTGGTGGCTTCACCAGGTTGACACCTCATCTTCAGGGATGCCTGGTGCTGCTCCTGGCTTGCCCTCCTGCACTCTTCATTGAACCAGGGTTGATCCCCTGGCTTGATGGTAATGGTTGATTGGGGTATATGCTGGGCCATGAGGTTACAGATTGTGCTGGAGTACAATTCTGCTGCTGTTGATGGCCCGTAGCGCCTCATGGATGCCCATTCTTGAGTTGCTAGGTGTGCAAAGTCTGACCGATTTAGCACGGTGATAGTGCCACACAACATGATGAAAGTTATTCTCAATGTGAAGGCTGGACTTGTCTCCACAAGACTGTGCAATAGTCACTCTTACCGATACTGCCATGGACGGATGCAACTGCAGGTCGCAGATTGGTGAGAATGAGTCAAGTATATTTTTCCCTCACCACCTGCCACAGACCCAGTCCAGCTGAACTTCCAACCCAATCAGTAGTACTGCTGCCGAGCCACTATTTGCGGTGGACTTTGAAATCCCCCATCCAAAGTACATTTTGCACCCTTGCCATCCTCAGTGCTTCCTCCAAGTGTTGTTCAACATGGAGGAGTACTGATCTGTCAGCTGAGGGAGGATGGTATGTGGTAATTAGCAGGAGGTTTCCTTGCCATGTTTAACCTGAAGCCATGAGACTTCATTGGGTCCGGAGTCAACGTTGCAGACTCCCAGGGCAAATTCCTCCCGACTGTATACCACTGTGCCACCACCTCTGCTGGGTCTGTCCTGCTGGTGGGACAGGACATATGCAAGGACGGTGATGGTGGTGTCTGGGACATAGTCATACTCTCAGAATTCTACTTTACAGACAATGTCAGACTGTTGCTTAATTAGTCTGTGAGACAGCACTCTCAATTTTGTCACTAGCCTCCAGATGTCAGTAAGGAGAACTTTGCAGGGTCGACAGGGATGTTTCTACCATTGTCTTTTTCAGTGCCTGGGTCGATGCCAGGTGATCCGTCCACTTTCATTTCCTTGAGACTTTGTAGTGATTGGTACAACTGAGTGGCTTGCTAGGCCATTTCAAAGGGCAGTTGAAAGTCAACCGCATTGCTGTGGGTCTAGAGTCACATGTAGGCCAGACCAGGTGAGGGTGGCAGATTTCTTTCCCTGAAGGACATTAGTGAACCAGATGGGTTTTTCTGGCAATCAGCAATGATTTCATGGTGATCAGTAGATTCTTAATTCCAGACTTTTTTAAAATTATTGAATTCAAATTCCACCATCTGCTGTGGTGAGATTTGAACCCAGGTCCCCAGAACATTAGCTCAGTTTCTGGATTAATAATCTAGCGATAATAGGCCATCACCTACCCATTAGTTGAACGCCACAAGGACCAGTCCTTGGACTCAATTATTTGCTACCTATATTGATGACTTGCAGGAGGGGGTAGAGTGTATATTATCCGAATTTGCTGATGGTATAAAAATAGGTCAGAAGGTTTGTTGTAATGAGGATGTAAGGAATCGGCAAGAAGATATAGGTAGGTCGAGTGAGTAGGCAAATTCTTGGCAGATGGAGTTTAGGTAAGAAAGTATTGGGTCATGCACTTTGGTAGGAAAAATCAAAAGGCAGGCTATTATTTAAATGGAGAGACTCCAAAAACGTTCAGTACAGAGGGATCGCGAAACAAAAGGTTAACATGCAGGAACAACAAGTAATTAAGCAGGCAAAAGAAATTTTGGCCTTTATTGTTAAGGTGTTGGAAATTAGTCTCGTTACAGCTGTACAGGGTGTTAGTGAGGCTGCATTTGGAGTACCATGTACAGTGTTTGACCCTGTACTTTTTTTTTGAAAAAAGGAATGTTCTGGAAGCATTGGAGGCAGTTCAAAAGAGATTTGCCATGCTAATTCCTAAGATGAAAGAGTTGATTTACCAAGAACGACTAAACAGGTTAGGCCTTATTCATTATAGTTTAGAAGAATGAGGAGTGATCTCATTGAAACATTCAAGATTCTGAAGAAGGCTTAACAGAATAGATGTTGACAAGATGTTTCAATTTAGGGAGACATCTCACACTAGGCGACATAGTTACAGAGTAAGTGGGTATTCACTTAAAACTGAGATTGTGAAGTTATTTTTCCTCCACAAGATAGTGAATGTCTGTAATTCTCTACTGCAGCAAATTGTGGAAGTAAGATCAATGAAACTGTTTAAAGAGGAGGTGATTGGTTAGATGAAATATCAGAAAGTTAATGGCCCCCCGTGCTGAGCTAGCTTAAAAGAGGAGTTGAGGCCTCAGCCAGATCAGCCATGATCTTTTTTGAATGGCAAGGCATGTTTGTGGGGCCAGTTGGCCGACTCTTGCTCCTGTATCTTATGTTCTAAAATCTTGTAAAGTGTTTGGGAGTGGGAAACAAGGCAGGCATTTGTGTGTACTTAATTGAGCAGAAATGAAAAAGTCAACTTCTGACATGTGGGGGTCTGATGAAAGTTAAGTTGCTGGCAAATTGCGGGTGGATTGAGCTTCACAACAGCAAGTGCCAGAAACTATTTTGGTTTTTTATAAAAATTAATTCATTTAATAAATATGCATGTCAGTGCCTAGATCAGCATTTATTTCCCATTCCTAGTTGCCCTTGAGAAGATAATAGTGACTTGTTGTCTTGAATTGCTGTAGCTCTTTTGGTGCAGGTACATTCACAGTACTCTTAGGGAGAGAATTCCAGGGTTTTCACTCCGTGGTTTTGAAGGATATCTTTCCAAGTCAGGATGGTGAGTGCCTTGCAGGGGAGCCTGCAGCTGATGGTGTTCCTGCGTATTTGCTGCCTTTGTCCTTCTGGATGTAAAGGTTGCAGGTTTGAAAGGTGCTGCTAAGGAGCCTTGGTGACTTGTTTTAGTGCATCTTGTGGATGGTACATGTTGCTCCTTCTGAGTGTCAATGGTGGAAGGAGTGAATGTGGATGTGATGCCAATCAAGCTTTGTACTGACTTGTGCTTGAGTTTTGTTGAAACTGCAAGGGGAGAATATTCCATCATATTTCTGACTTATGCCTTGCAGATGTTAGTGATTCTGAACGATAGGATTTACATGCATTTGGAGAAGCAAGGATTGATTGGGGATAGTCAGCATGGTATTGTGTGAGGAAAATCATGTCTCTCAAACTTGATTGAGTTTTTTTAATGGAGTAACCAAAAAGATTGAGGGCAGAGTGGTACATGTTGTTTACATGGACTTTAGTAAAACTTTTAACAAGGATCTGTATGCTAGACTAATTAACAAAGTTAGATCACATGGGATTCAGGGTGAGCTTGCCAATTCGATACAAAATGGACTTGATGGTTGGATACAGAGGGTGGTGGTGGAGGGTTGCTTTTCGGACTGGACGTCTGTGACCAGAGGTGTTCCACAGGGATCAGTACTGGGGCAATTTTTGTTTGTCATTTATACAAATGATTTGGATGAGAATATAGGAGGCATAGTTAATAAGTTTGCAGATGACATCAAAATCACTGGTACTATGGATAGTGAAGAAAGTTACCTAAAATTACAAAGAGATCTTAACTAATTGGCTGAAGATTGGCAGATGGAGTTTAAGTTCGACAGATGTGAGGTATTTCATTTTGGTAATACAGACAAGGACGGACTTGTACAATTAGTGGTAGGACCCTGGGTAGCATTGTAGAACAGAGAGACCGAGGGGTTCAGGTACATAATTCTTCGAAATTTATGTCACAGGTAGGTAGGGTGCTTAGCATACTTGCCTTCATTGCACAGAAACTTGAGTACAGGAGTTGGGACGTCATCTCCAGGTTGTGCAGGACATTGGTGAGGCCTCGCCTGAAGTACTGTGTGCAGTTCTGGTCGCCCTGCTATGGGAAGGATATTATTAACCTGAAGAGGATTCAGAAAAGATTTACCAGGATGTTCCTGGGAATGGAGGGTTTGAATTATAAAAATAGATTGGCAAGGCTGGGACAACTTTCACTGAAGGGTAGGAGGTTGAAGGGTGACCTTGTAGAGGTTTATAAAATCATGAGGGGCATAGATAAGGTGAATCACAAGGGTCTTTTCCCCAGGATGGGGGAGCTCAAAACAATGGGGTGTATTTTTAAGGTGAAAGGAGAAAGAGGTGCAAGTTTTGTTTTACACAGAGTGGTTCATGTGTGGAATGAACAGAAAAAGTGGTGGATACAGGTACAGTTACAATATTTAAAAGACATTTGGATAAGTTCATGGATGGGAAGGGTTTGGAGGGATGTGGGCCAAATGCAGGCAGGTGGGACTAATTTAGTTTAGGGACACAGTTGGCATGGACTGGTTGGACTGAAGGATATGGTTGCACGCTGTATGACTCTATGACTCTGAGTTTGTAGTGTTGTGGTATCAAATAGGTTAGACGGTTTTTGTGCAGTTGTAGTGTCCCTACCTCAGGGCCAGTAGACTCCGGTTCAAGTCCCACCTCCTTAGGAGGTACGTAGCAACATCTCTGAACAGATTGACGAGAAAATATCCATAAAATAGTTTGGTGATACAGTGGCATGCCCCTACCTCTGAGCCAGGAGACCCAGGTAAAGTCCCACCTGCTCCATAGGCATGTAATAATGTGTCTCTAAGCAGGTTGGTTAGAAAATAACTACACAGTAGGTTTGTATGGATTATCCAAGTTTGTTGCATTCTAGAGTTCAAATTGCAATGATATCAGTAAAACCTGAGAATTTAACTGTTGTAACAACTTCTTAACTCGATTTTGTGCTATTCTTAATATATTTCTGTTTGCAGACCGTGTTTCATCATATCCATAATGCTGTCTCGAATTTAAAATATCTTTTAACCCTTGAGACCATTTATAATTCTAGTCCCTGTCTTCTATGAAGCATACTCAAATGTCTGAATCTGTTATCCAATATAACATGGTTCAGCAATGTTATAATCAGATACTAAGTGCCTTTTTTTTTCCTTTCCCTCTGAAGATGAAGGAAGTGAAGTTGACAGTGAAATGGATGATGAATTGGAAGATTCTGGAGAACCACCGTTCAAGAGAGAAAAAATAGACCTGAACCAGACACTACAGGGTGTCTGTGTAGCACCATCTCTCAACAGCAGCATGCAACAAGACCCTCTGATCCCTCTACATGCTGAACAAATCATTACAAGTGTGGCTAGTGCCAGGCACTGCAGCACCGCTGGAAGCACATACACGGCAGTCTAAACAATAATTTGACCATTCATTGATTATCCTTCTCTTCTGTACTTCAAGCTTGAAGTCTGACTGTGTTGTGGCTTCAGCCATTGAGATGACACATACTGCTATGCTGAATGTTACTCTCATACACTAACTAGGTGTATATAGGTTTTGTTTTTGGATTATGTTTGGTCCCATATTGATCATATCGACTAAAGGGACTCAGTAGACATTACAATTGTAATTGATGAATTTCTATCAGTATAAGTTGTTTTGTTTAGTTCAGTTTTTGATTGAAAATATATTCTTATACATACTACAGGATATGCTCACTTGACAGCAGAAGTACGTAAAGGTCAGGGCTAGAATCCAACAATATCCTGTTATCTCACTGCTAATTTTATCTTTCTTTTGGTTTGAATCTGTTTCAAAAGGATCCAGGAGTGATAGTTCTGCTGTGTTGTTTGAAAGCACTTGAATAAGTTGCAATATGATAAAGCTGTACTAATCACTACTTATACATTAGGTGGTTGCATCATTCATGCATTATGTGTATTTTTAAAACAACTTAAGCCAAACATTGTAATGAATGAGTAATGGTTACTTTTTGGATTGGAGACATAACATGGTAATCATCAACAGCATTCTTGACCAAAGTGTTTGCTTAAGTAACAATTCTGTGCCTCACCACCATTAATGCCTCAGATTTCTAGTAATTTTGGTGTTACCTCAAAGATTAGTGTAACTACATTCTATTAATTTAAGACCAGAGCACCTAAAATCCTCAATGTTTCTGCCCATGTTATTCCAGGAAATATTTCTTTGTTGCAAGCAATTTTCCACAAAATTGTAAGTTTCCTTTCAGAAGTTGCATGCAGAAAATCACCTTTCTGCCTTTCATCACAATTGTTGATCTGAGCAAGTAACTGGGTTGTTGTACTGGATTCTAACCATGAAGCAGTTTATTTCAGCATATTGATGTGCTCTAAGCTTTGACCACAAATATTTGACTGTTATATGTAGAGGAATCTAATTTTTTTTTTCTTTCAAATTAATGGACCAGACTTCTGCTGTTGAAGATTTTGGAATGTAGATTTATGGTTGAAGTTGAAAGCTTGAGAGAGGAGGCAGTGTTCATTGTTACTAGCCTCCTAAAACTGTACTGTATTTAAAATTTGTCAAAAATCAAAATCTATTCAATTCTTTAAACAACTTCCTACCTTTGCAGAAAGTTCAATGGAGTTCCCTTTGAAACATCAAAGTTTTGAATGCTACTGATTTGCAAAGTAGTGCAGCCATATTTAAAAACTAGATTAGTTTAATAAACATTTTTTGGGAAAAAGTGTTAATGATAAAGGCTGCAGTAAGTCATAAAATATGTTGCATTTGTTCCAGTTATGATTATACTTTCTAGGTGAGGTCTTGCTAGACCAACAAAAAGTATACTGTTTCATTTGAAGTCCACTGTACCTGTGAATAATGTTAGGACAGACAGAAATCAATCATTGTGAATTGATTTTTCTGTTCCATCTGTTTTGCTGTAGTGTCTTAAGCTGCTATGATAAGACTTTACAAGGGGTTGACCAATACTACCTGTTGCCAGTACTTCAATACTTTTTCATTGGTTAAGTGAAGTATCTATGGCTGTTTGTTTTCCATTCAATAAGACAACAACATTAAAAAATTGGATTGAAATTTTAAACATAGGAAATTTTAAGATGGATAAGCATAGAAATTTGATGTTGTGAAAATTCTGAATATGTATTAAATATATATATTCAAATTTGTTTAAATCTAGCATGATCGCTATTTAAGTAATGTGATATCCTAGCTGTTTTCAGCAGCTGTATTAGCCAACTCCTCAGTGTAACTACAGAACACAAGAATGTAGCACTCAGCATAGTCTTGGCAGCTTTACATTGAGTTTTCTATGTGGTCTATGTGGTTGTCAAAGATGACGAGACCAAAAGTACTGTAGCTGGCACACCTCACACATACTCATCAATTCTGTAGGAACAGACTTGGTAGGCAATTAAATGCCACTTCAGGAATGTACGTCAGGGATTACTGTACCTCGGCTATTACACAGTGCCTTAAACAGTTATGGAAAGAGTTAATTTTTGTAGTTCAGCAAGGTGTGCCTGCTGTTTTTCTACTACCCACAGGGGAAACTATGGAATGGAAGCTCGAGTGATGATTCTTAGTTAGAAACTTATGTCTTTTTCTTATACTAAGAATGAGTATATTTGTCTTATGAAGCCATGAGGAATGAGTAAGTATATGCATTAATCAAGACTTGAGACACATTTCAATTGCATAATCCAGGAAGCATAGTGTCTAAGGATTGTAGAAACCTGGAAATTACTAATTAATGCAAAATACTTGACTCATTTTTAGCATATTCTATAGAAAAACAAATTCTAAACATCTATTGACAAAGGCATTGCGCACATTTTTTCTCTCATAATTGCTTAGAATTTAACAAGACTCAGTATATTCTCTACATATTGTGAATATAGATCCTGAAGAAATGAAAATGCAGTTTGCTAATGGTCATTTCTTTGGTTAAACACATTATAAACCATCCTATATGATACTTACAAATGTTTTCACAAATTTGCCTCAATTTCTAAAAATATATAATTTCCTTTTGGGGGAGGATGGAGATCATTGGTGATTATATTTATTGAGCTCTTTGGAGAAACCTGCTGTATGATCAATTATTTTTAAAAGTTTAAGACAAAAGGAAATCCTGCTTCCTGTAATGCACAATGACTTCTGTTCATTTTCAGATGAGGTACTTCCCAGTGCTGTGAGACAGTAAGACACATATATGCCATTAAGTAAAATGGCAAATAACTGAGTGTACATTTTGAAAAGGGTTTCTTTGAAACCAGTAATGTTTACAAACTTTGTTGAGGTACAATTAAAAGTTCTGAAGAACACTCCAACCACCTCCTCCTCCCACCCACCCCACCCCCACCAAGAGAGGGGTCACTTTGGCTTTTTTTTTAAACAGACATTTTTAAAGAAAATACCTGAATTTTAACTTTCAGGCAAGACAAACCAATTAAACACATCAAATGTTTGAAGTCTTTGCCTTCCTAAACTACAAAAAGTACAAAAACATTGGTCATTTTGAAATAGTTTTATCAAACAAATTAAATTAGGTTTATACAAACATACTCATTCTTCTCAATATCATTGATTTTGATGCTGATCAGCATCAAAGGTCATTAGGCAGCTTCACCTGTCCCTTGGGGAGGATTGTCCTTGATCCTGTTTTCTGTGCTTCAACACCAAACATCAAAGGTTTGTTTTTCAATATATTTAAAGTCTTAATGGTTTTAAAACAATTTGGGGCATTTGTTTCACGAACATTCTGCCCCTTCAATCTTCAAAACAAAAACAAACCTTATTTTACTTATTTCTGTCTTATGTAAACATTTACATACTGTTCCGGACCAAAATGTGTTTATATTGTGTATCTGGTGTGTTTGTAATGGTTGAGAAAAGCCTTCTATGTATTTCTTTTCTTTGTACTTTTTTTTTAAGTGTTTAGTTTGTTGTGCTGCAGATATGTTTGGATCGTAATGTGCAATTTAGAGTTGTTAAGGGGCTGGTGGGGGAATAGGGTTTGTCTTTACACCCCATGTTAACAACAAACTGTAGTTCTGTGGAACAGAACACACATTGCTCTGTTTAATCAATAGACTCCTTGAACATTGGTAGAAATGGGCATTTTACCTGGTATAGAAACTGGAATTGAAACATGACCTTTATATTGAGTTTCAGTACTGATGGATAATGGTGCAGTGAATTGTTCTCATACGTGAAGGTATGCAATGAAAGCTCTGTGTTTTGGCAGTAGAAGTGCTTCTCAGTCTGCATGCCTTTCTATATGCTGCTAGATTGTGGTTTTTGTTTTGGTGCCAGCTGGGTAACCGCATTTTAATTTTTCGCACTTTTTTTCCTGCTTACACCATCACATTTCAAACAGCCACTTAGAGTGAATTATTTCAGCCTTTATTAAAAATATATACATAAACAAAGTACAAATCCATTTACGCCTTATTGTAGAGTTTACTAGTGTGCTTAAACTACTTTTTTTTGCCAAATCGTATGATGTGGAATACAGAAGCTCTGAATGGTGATAATATTTTGACTTGCTTACACAGTTATGGTATTGCTAGTTATCAATTTGTTTAAATTTAAAATTTAAAGTAGTATCCAGTGATTATGATTCAGAATGTTATTGGTAAAGTTCAACTAATTTGGGAATAATTACAATTTATTTTTAAAAATCTGTCATTAATAACTTTATTCTTCCAGTTCCTGGGTAATTTTGCTGTATGTCAGATTGGGATGTCTGGTCAGCACGGTTGGGTTGGAACGAAAGGTCTGTTGCCACACTGTATGACTCTGACTCCTTTCTGTGTCAAATGCACATACCTGCTGACCATGAACTCACCAATGTCATGAATTCAAGCCTTTTCTGATGGTGTTCTTCTAGCCATTAGAAGGTGTGTAAAAATGGCATTCAAGCCATCAGATTCGATAGAGAAATTTTACTGTGCAGAGAATAGGATTAATAGAAGAAGAGAATACATTTCTCACTGTTCTGTGACCCAGCAGAGAATTCAACGTTATGGAGAGCCAAGCAGAAAAGGAGAGTTCAGGTTACAATCTGAGAGGCTGCTGCAAAGGACCTATTCCTATTTCAAATCATTGTGTAGCATGGCATTAGTACCTGCTCCATTCCTGTTTTTGAGATGCTTAAAATAAGTTTCAATGATCAGAAATACCCGGGGAAGTTTTAATCAAAGAATCAGAGGCCACATGTTATGTATTGAAATGTTTTTACAGTTAGCTTTTAGATTTAAGAAAAATGTTACTTTGCTGTTTACAAAATAAAATGCCAAGTCTTCTTATCTTTCATTGAACAAATACAGTTTCTGAATTTTGCTCGAAAGCATGGATTCTTGAAAACTGAATATTTAATTCATGCAATTTAATTCATTCATAGCTTAGTTTGTCTCTTGAAATATGCTACCATGGTAATTGCATTCCTTGGAGGGTTCATGGAATCAATCAACTTATTCCTTTGAATCCACAAATAGTAATTGAACTCAGATTTGGAAGCAGTTCAAACATTTAGGGGACCTTTTCATTATATTTTCCAGTCATTGAGTATCTATCGGGAGCATTAAGAACATATGCAATATATTTGTTTCAGGTTTGGATATTAAAATAGACAGTGGTTCCAACATGGTTTTGTTTTTGTAATTTAAGTTGTTTTTAACAACCCACACAGCAAAGATTTTGACAGTATTTTTATTCATGGTCAAAGCACGAAATTGTAAGAAGGAACACTTCTATAATGGCAAAAATATTAAAGGACATTTTTCAGAATGCAGTTACGATAATACCTGATTGTGGTTTTTGCTTTGGTGCCAGCTAGATAACCGATAGTTTAGTTTAAAAAATAGTTAAAACAAATAAGAAATTCTATTCAATGTATTTCAGAATTGTGCATGAGTATATTCCTTTTCCTTGTTTATGTTCCCTTCTTATGGTTTCTTTTCTTCTGGCAGCTCCTTGAGCCAAGAGAGAGCACAGGAAATCTGTTTCTATGGCTCTCTGTCTATGCTGTCTTGTCACTGTTAGAATGTGAGAGAGACTGGCTCACGTTCACAGCCTTTCATAAAGAAAATTACCTCTGAGTGAAGCATTCAGCTGTTGTAACTCGTCTTTACATGTCCCCACCATAATACCTGGTTGCCCCTCAAATGAGTCCAGACCATTTGCCTCCACTACCCTGCCTGAATAGACAATTCCAAATATTAAATTACTCTTTGCCTGAAGAAGCACACATTAACTTCAGTGCTGAACTTTTCTATTACCAGATTATGTATATGCCTATTTGACCCGCAGTTGAATTGGAACTTAATAATACGTTGAATTTTAATTTTTTTTTCCTCAGTTAGCATCTTTATGGTAATAAGGTGCCCTCTCATACACTCTGTTTGACTTCAAAGAGCCAAAAATCATCGTAACATTTAACTCTGTCAAGTGGCATAACAGACAATGTGAAATTGGTTTGTCCATTTTCAACTTGATTTTCCTTGACAATAACTCTAATTTGGGAAAGAGAAATGGTCTTTCAGCCTATTTAGCTAGCTATATTCTAACTCAGGGCCCAGTCTAACATATTTTTCCTAATTTAATTCAACTGCTTTGTTTTTTTATAAGGTAGTTATTTGGGTTGGAGGGTGGAGGGCAGTGTAATGGTATCAGAATATAAGAGTTGAGTAGTAGATGGAGCATTCTGGGAGCTTAGGGATTCAAAGGCTTTGCTGATGTTGACAAAGGCAGAAAACCAGCCAGATTCACTACCTATCCATTTGACAGCAGTATGGAAGAGGAGTAGCCTAGAATCCATGGGAACAATCTTTGGGATTCCGATCTGAAAGCAAAGACTAGTAATTCCATCTTGATCAGGAGGAAGCTGGGAATTGGGAGGGCCAAGGAATCTTTGTGAGCCTGAATGGAGCACTGCTGTTCTAGTCCGCAAGGAATTTAGAATCATAGAATCCCTACAGTGCAGTAAAAGGCCATTGGGTCCACACCAACCCTCCAAAGAACATCCCATCCAGACTCTCTCACCCCCCACCCTATCACTGTAACCTTGCATTTCTCATGCCTGATCCACCTATCCTGCACATTCCTAGACACTATAGGGCAATGTAGTATGGCCAATCCAACTACCCTGGACATCTTTGGACTGTGGGAGGAAACAGAGCACCCAGAGGAAACCCACATAGACACGGGGAGAACATGCAAACTCCACACAGTCGCCCGAGGGTGGAATCAAACCCGGATTCCTGCCGCTTTGAAGCAGCAATGCTAACCATCATTTAAACAGAAGGTGAAAATTTCTAAACTTATTTTGACTTCGTGGACTTCTGCTGTTGTATTGTTATTAAGCTCAAAGACATATCACTTCACTGGCTTGAATAATTCTTCACAGTGCTGGTAGCATAATTGCACTGTAGTTTTGGAAAGTCTTAGAACCTCACTGATGGCGGGAACTGTTGTCATAGTAATTACAGCTCTGGTAAATGCAGTGGCTGGAGTTAGTCTTCAGCTCCTCCCGTACCCAATTCTTACTGTTGGAGGGAGTAATAACATCCCATATTTTATCCCAGTTACATGATTTGTCAATATTGGATGCCTTTTTACTTCTTTCTCCCAGTTGCTTCCTCCATGAAGTGTATTTAAAACTAGAATGTTATAGCAAACACATCATTCCCACCTCAGCACAAGTTAGAATTCCTCGCTTAGAAAAAACAAGACTCCAAAACAAAGAATGTAAAGTAAAGCCCCAGTATACCAAATATATAAATTATTATTTAAATAATTGGCCTTGAGGAGACAAGTGAGTGCCTTTTAAAAACACTGGTTAATCTTGTGCCTGAATTGTAGATATGCACCCAGGCTGCAGAACAACACTGATTCACTGCTTCCTTGAACTCCACATCATTATATTTTGTTCTTAAAATTGAGTAATTCAAAAATCATGCATTTAACTCCATTGTCCCAAGTCTCTCAAAAATAAAGATACCTGTACTGTGCCTGAATTGCCCCTTGTTACAGTGTTTTAAGTTTTATAATATTAAGGACTGTATATAGAACTTCACTTTACAAGACAACATTCTACTCCAACAACAAGAATTGAATAAATGGACTGAAGTGAACACTCTCCCCTCATGGCTGTATCACGATATCATGTTGTGACAGGAAGTATTCTGTGCAAAATGCCTGTTGGCAGATTCCTTCATGTTGACAATTCATGAACACAACTGAATGCAAATGACAGACTCCTGTAACTACAACCTTTAACACTGAGTCACTAGTCGGCAATTCAGTCAGCAACATTTGCCCCCCTTTAAATAGAGCTTTTCAGTGCCATTTTAGAATTCACTAAGTGGCAAATTGGAGTATTAAGATGCACAAGCACATAAAGGCCCAAAATATTGGGGATTTTTTAAATTGGTCTAATGACATCTCAATTGTGTGAATTAATAATGTAAAAGTTAAGATTTTCAGATTTTTTGTAGAGAATGTATTGTGAAATTATGTAATTTTTGTTTTTTTTGAATGACAGCTGCATATAGTTTTAATTATTTAAAAACCTATGATGTGATTTTGAATAATGTTCAATTATGTAAATATATATTTCATGCTGTGATTTTGTGAGAAATGTTTTATGAAATCTTTCAATATATCATGACCTTTATAAATTGGTTGGAGCAAACTGATAGTGTGCGTGAAAGGTTTGTACTGTGTACTGTACAACAACAGGAATTTTTTGTAAACAGGAATATGAAATCTTACAGTGTGTTCTTACATGTAGACAAGCAACTAGTATATACTGAAGACACTTGTGTAGAAAGTTTTTTCTTAATATTTCAGACTTGAACTCAGGCTAGCTTTTCTTGTCGTGTTTCTATAAGCTGTGGCTTGTCTGTAAAAAATCAATAAAAAATTTGTTTTTCTTGGTTAAAGAGAGTTTTATTTTAAATCTTGCAAATTGTATTTGTTTGTACATCGAGTATCTACATTTTTTTTTTCTTTATTCATTCACGGGATGAAGGCATCATTGGACAAGCAGTATTTATTGTCCATTCCTAATTTCCCAGAGGGCAGTTAAGAGTCATCCACATTGCTGTGGGTCTAGAGTAACATTTAGGCCAGACTAGGAAAGGATGGCAGTTTCCTTCGCTAAAGGATATTAGTGAACCAAATGGATTTCTTTTTTTCAAACAATCAGCAATGGGTTCATGATTAGCATTAGACTCTGAATTCAGATTTTTTTTTAATTGAATTAAAATTCTCCTGTCTGCCATGATGGGATTCTGACCCAAGTCCCCAGAACATTGTCTGGGTCTCTGGACCAGTACAGAGATAATACCACTAGGCCGACACTTCTTAATAATTTCAGCAGAACAAAAAATAACTGGTGAAATTAGTGTTTCCAGTCCCTATCAATGTGTAGGTGAGATTACATCTGACTTTCTCTTTGTGCTCAAGGCAATACAAAGGAACCTGTACCTGGTGATGGCTAGCACGAGGGGACATAGCTTTAAATTGAAGGGTGATAGATATAGAACAGATGTCAGAGGTAGGTTCTTTACTCAGAGAGTAGTAAGGGCTTGGAATGCCCTGCCTGCAAAACTAGTAGACTCACCAACTTTAAGGGCATTTAAATGGTCATTAGATAAACATATGGATGATAATAGAATAGTGTAGGTTAGATAGGCTTCAGATTGGTTCACAGGTCGGCGCAACATCGAGGGCCGAAGGGCCTGTACTGCGCTGTAATGTTCTATGTTCTATGTTTGCTGCTCCCTGCTGCTACAAATCATTTTCCATATGCTGCTTAGAATAAGCAAATGTGTCTTTCTTATGGCAGCCACAGATCGGATTTTAGTTTTATATGTAGCAATATTTTATAATTTAATCTTGACTTTATGTGGGGACTTATTTTTAGTAACCCTTTCCTTTTGATGCCTTTCCCTTAATCTTGATGAAAATATTAACTTAGGCCTAACGAGCTGTTTTCAGTATTAAATCAACTTTTACCATCTTGTACCACAAAGTGTAATCAGCAGGAACATTGAGTGGTTATCGAAATAGCAAGACCCTATTTGTCATTTAAAAATAACAATCATTTATCATTGTCTCTGCCAACACTTTTTGAATACAGAGATCAAGTTGCTAAGGTGCTTGATTTTTCCATTAAAAATACCTTTAACAAGTTACCGCCAACCTCACGATAAGACATCTAATGATGTAATAAAGATGTGTGTTACACAGCCTGCGGTATATGGGATGTCAAAGATAATCCTGGCAGTCCGGGTCACCACCTCTGCAGGAAGATGATCAGTTAGACTGCTGTGGTTTGGAGCTTGGGGAATTGGTAAATGGGTATAGGATGGTACTGGGAGCATGAGGGTCTTTAGAAACAGGTATATGAACATGACACCATAATATATGTCATGATTAGCTATGACTGAGTGGTGGAGCAGACTCAATGATACCAAATACCCTAATTCTGCTCCTATATCTTCTGATAAAAGCAGATGTAGGCCATTCAGCCAATCAGGTCTGCTCCACCATGAAATGAGATCATGGCTAATTTGATAACTCTCAAGTTGACTTCCTGCCTTTTTTCCATAACCCTTGACTCCCTTACTGATTTAAAAAATCTGTCTATCTCAGCTTTGAATATACTTAACAACCCAAGCCTCAATAGCCCTCTGGTAAACAATTCCATAGAATTCCCTACCCTCTGAGAAGAAATTATTCTTCATCTCTGTTTTAAATGTGACAGCCCTTATTCTGAGATTATGCCCTCTGGCCCTAGACTCTCCCACAAGGGGAAACAACTGGTTATATCTACCCTGTTAACTCTCCTAAGAATGTAGTACATTTCAATATGGTTGTCTCTGATCCTTCTAAACTCCAATGAGGACAGGCCCAACCTACTCAATCTGTCCTTGTCTGTCCATTCCTGGTGTTAGCCTAGTGAACTTGCCTGGATTGCCTCCAATGCCAGTACATCTCTCCTTAGAGCCGTGGCTCAAAACAGTTCACTGTATTCTAGCTGTTGTCTGAGTATTGCCTTGTGTTTTTTAGCAAAACCTCCCTAATTTTATACTCCATTCCCTATGAAATACCTTTCTATACCTCCATGATTCTAATCTTCCTGCCATTTCCCACATTATATTCCATCTGTCAAGTTTTTGCCCACTTGACTAACTTGTGTATATCCCTCTGCTAATTCTTTGTCTCATCCTCAACACTTCACTTCCCTCCTATTTTTGCATTATCCACAAACTTGATGATAATGCCTTCACTGTCCTTATCCAAGTTATTTATATATAGTAAATAATTATGTACCCCAGCACTGATCCTTGTACGCCACTAGTTAGAAGTTGCCATCTTGAAAATCAGCCCCTAATCCCAACCCTATCTTGTATTAGTTGGCCAAATTCTGTCTCCACAACAATATAAAGTATAAACAATAAAGTGAAGAATGCTACAACGTATTTATTCAACTCCTCTGCCATTTCCTGGTTCCCCATCATTATTTCCCCAGCCTCAGTCTGTAGGGGGCTATGTTCACTTTGGTTCTCTCTTCCTTTTAATACATTTTAATATACTTCTTCTATCCACTTATAAGCTTGCCCTCAAAGTTTATTTTCTCCCTCTTTATTTACTTTTACCCATCTGTTGGTTTTCAAAATTTTTCCAATCGTCTGGCTTGTCACTAACCTTTGCAACATCCTATATTTTTGCTTTCAATCTGATGCTATCCTTAACTTGCCTGGTTTTAACCATGATTGGCTTATCCCCTTCATAAAATCCACCTTCTTCACTGAAATATGTCATCACTGTGAGTCATGAACTTTTTTCATTATGACTGCTATTTTTTCTCAACCATCTTTGCCACTAAACTCCTTTACAAGTCCATTCCAGCCAGCTCTGCCCTCATTCCCTTGTAATTATCTTTATTTAAACTTAGCAGAGTTTTTTTTCTGTCTCAAGTTCCTCCCCCAAATTGAATAATATGATAGAATTAGCATAGTCACTATTTCTGAAGGGGTTCTTTTACTGTGACATTAATTATTCTATTCCACATCACCTGATCCCTGGTTGGATCCACAGCATATTGTTCTATTGACCCGGCTATACGCTGGTTCATGACTTCCTCTGCCAATCTGACTATCCCAATCTACATGAAGATTAATGCACTGCCTTTGTTACATGTCCTGATTATCTCCTGATTTATTCTCTATCCCACTGTATAACTACAATTAGGGGACCTACAGAATACTCCTACCAGTGTCTCTGTTATTACCTCTTATCTCCATCCATATAGATTCTACATCTTCTGATCCAAAATCATTTTGTGTTATTGTACTTATTCCATCCTCTACCAACAATGCCACCCCATCGACCTTTTCCTTCCTGCCTGACCTTTCATATAACCCTGAATATTTAGCTCTCAGCTTTGAGTTCATTGTAAACATGTCTCTGTTATGGCTACAAAATCATACCCATTAACTTTGATTTGTGCTGTTAATTTTTCATTTTGTTTGAATAGTTCATGCATTCAATGAAAGAGCCATGAATGTTTTCCTTGTTTTCAATTTACTGCTGTTTTTCTTTGTTTGTATATCCTGTCTCACCCTATCATACTCTGGGTACTGTTAGCTAAATAGCTGCCCTGTAATGCCACTGTATTCTTTTGATTTATAACTATATTTTTCCTGTCTCCCAAACCTCCCCCCCCCCCCCCCCCCCCACCCCAGTTAGTTTAAAGCCCGCTCTACAGCTCGGGTGGTGTGATTCAAGTGAAGTCCATCTGCCAGGAACAACTCGCCTCTACCCCAGTGCTAGTGCCAGTGCCCACAAACTGAAAGCCATTCCACACCAATCCATGAGCCATGCATTTAACTCCTCAACTTTATTTATCCTGTGCCAGTTTGCCTGTAGTTCAGGTAGCAATTCTGAGACTTTGAGATTCTGCTTTCTGATTCAGCTCCCAACTGTTCAAATCCCTTCAGCAAAGTCTCCTTTCAGGTCCTACTCCCCTCCTTCTCCAGGTTCTCCTTCAGCCCTAAGGAGATGTCCTTAACCCTGGCACAAGGCAGGCAACACTGCCTTCAGAACTCCTGCTCATAGCTGCAGAGAACAGTACCTATCTCCCTAATTATACTGGCCCATACCACAACTACATTCCCATTTCAAGCCCCCACTTGAAAGGGGGGTCTTGAGTGGCAAGGGACCGTATCCTGGGTGAATGAGCATGGAGCTGAATTGATGGGTCAATGGGGGTGACGCAGAATGAGCAGAAGGGATATTTTATGTTTTAATCTTTAAACTTCGACCACACCGCTGGAACCCCATGGAAGGCTTTCCCTGCAACCCTTTTCAGTAACCGGCAGCTTTCAGGTCACCTGGCCAGGCACCCAAATTCACACCTCCCCCACCAGACTGAAAATCAGATGTTCAGACAGCCAGTTTGCAACGCGCAGCTTGTGGAGATGGGAACTCACCTGCTTCTGTGCCAAGTGAGTGAAAATGGAGTCGTCCTGTGTGAAATGTTCCCCCTGACAAGCATTCCAGTTCTTTAAGAAGGAGTCTAGCACAGCTGGATTCAGAACAAAAATAAGTCAAAAGAACACAAATGATGAAACCAGTGAGCTGCAAAGCAAGCATATTCTCCTCAGGAGATAAACTAGTGGGCCCTGGATATGAGGTTTAAAGTAAAATAGAAACAGAAGACACAGAATGAAGCCAAATTGAGACAGACTATAAACAGAGCAGAGGGAAAATAGAAAATGAATATAATAAAAGTTGAAAGTAGGCTGTTGGTTGAGGGAAGCTGGAGTAGAGGCACTGGGTGTAGTTTAAACTGACAGTCACCAAGCCTCAGGCGAGGGGAGCGATTGAGAAAGAGAGTCCTTCATGGTGAACTCAGTCAGTACAGGAATTG